ATTTTATATACAACTGTTTAATTTATTTTATATACGACTGTTTCATTCATTTTATATACGAATGTTTAATTTATTTTATATACGACTGTTTAATTTATTTTATATACAACTGTTTAATTTATTTTATATACGACTGTTTCATTCATTTTATATACGACTGTTTCATTCATTTTATATACGACTGTTTCATTCATTTTATATACGACTGTTTCATTCATTTTATATACGACTGTTTCATTTATTTTATATACGACTGTTTGATTAAACAATCATATTTTCAAACACAAAGGGGCAAGAAGTTGCTTGGCTCGAAGTAGACCAACTTCGGACTGAGTTTATATATCGAACTTACCGGTGAAGAGTTGATAAGCTCCTGTGAGAATGATGATGAAGAGGGCAAGTAATTTTGCGTACGTGAAGATGTCCTGCACCCTGGTCGCCCATTTCACGTCCCAGCAGTTAATGAACGCCAAGATGCCTGGAACAACAGACAATTCAATGTAGATTAACACTTACACGAATAAATGTGAACGAACATAAATGAAACAGAACGAAATTGAACACGTAAATTCGATTGATAATGACCAGACCGCGACATGCGTCATTAAATATGCGCATTGTTAAATAAACCGCATCATTAAATATTGTTCGTTATTAAAAATGCGCATAGATAAATTATGTGATAACAAATGGTAATGATTATTTGATTACATATCCGTGTTATCGTGTCAATAATGATCCAATAATTAGTAATTTAAATAAATATATTTAATGACGATACGTCGATGAAATGCACTCTCGAAATCTGTATGAATGTGTAACTGGAAACCAAACTTCATCAACTCCTAACATTTTATTAAACATCGTTACATAAATGCAATCACGATTCAAGGAGCAAACGACTTGCTCTTGAAATTCAATTGTCGCAAGAATATGTCACGAATAATTCCAACAATAAGACAAAATTTAAAAACCACAGTTCGTAATGCCACGTGTGGCTTTTGAATGGTGAAAGAACTATAGAAATAAAAGGGGGGGGGGGGGAAGAAAAATGATCGAAAAATGTTAGAAAAGAAACGAAACGAAACGGTAGAAATGAGAATATCAAAGTGCGAAAATTAACAGATGAATTTTAGGTAACAAAACGACAGTGTTAATCGACGTACATACTTGGATCGGTTTCTACGTTGGCCGATTAGATTCATTAGTGTAGATTAATTAGTGATTGTCGAAACATTTCACGTTCACCGGCACTCGTACACGTGATTACATGTGAGAAACACGCGTAGCTGGTACCGTTTTCTCAGCGATCGGCGATATCGCGATTTCGCTGTTGCAACATTTAACATGATCGATGTAACATTTAACATGATCAATCCTGAATATGTAGCAAGGCATATCAGGTATAATAATAGCTTTTCGCTATCGGTACACTTAGTGGCCAGATAGTAACAGCGGTCATTTATGCAAATTAATGATTTTTATTAATGTAAATAAAAATGCCAAAGCTGGGTAGAAAATTGTAACAAGAATTTTTACGCGAATTCATATTTCTGTATCAGATAGAATGTTCCTTTCTCTATTTAATTATTGTACAGATTATTGCATTCTTTTTGGATATTTTTTTTTTATCCTTTTGTACGTTGCGTGTTCTCCGTTTTCGAACTTCTCGTAAATGAGTAAAAATCGACAGTCTAAGTGTCTTTAATAAGTATCTCTTATCGATATTTTATACATTTCTGAATTTCAAACGAATGCTGTCGTATATTTTCGTATAGCTATCTTTCTTTTTTGGTATGTGTTGACAGTACGTTCAATATATATATTTAATAATAGAAAAAGACTTCATATATACATATATATATATATATATTTTTATATTTAATAAAATAAAAATTAATTATATTTTATATATATATATATATATATATATATTTAATAAAAGAAAAAGATTTTTAAACGTAGAGACTAGTTTTCACCCCTCAAATTTTTCCTCTCGATCCCCTCTAATTTTTGAAAAAAACTCTTGAAAATTTGTAACGACACAACATTAGCGTAACAGCGCTGCTTATTCTGTTTGAAACAGTAGCGCGACTCGATGAACGGTTATTTCGGCGACTCGATATATATATTTAATAAAAGAAAAAGATTTTTAAACGTAGAGACTATTTTTCCTCTCGATCGCCTCTAATTTTTGAAAAAATAATTCTTGAAAATTTGTAACGACACAACATTAGCGTAACAGCGCTGCTTATTCTGTTTGAAACAGTAGCGCGACTCGATGGTAATAAACGGCTCGTGTCTTACATCCAATCACTCCCGCCCCTCTATAATTATACAGCCAGTGAACTGTTCATTTACTCAGCTGGAACTATGTCAGATATATATCCATGTATATATATTAGCATAAAGAGATATTTTATTTTCTGGAACCGGTTGCGTGTGCCAGAGCCTAACGTTGCAGACTAACTGGCACCAGTCCAATCGACCATGACGTCGTCGGGGGTGGAATCGACCGCGGGTGGTTATCGACCTCTGCGCGAATAAGAAAACCAACCGATTCGACCGACTGACCAGATATCTACGCCATCGGGAATCCTTGGGAATTCATTACGCAACTTATTATCATCGTCTCTTTAACGAGTGGTTTCATTGAAATTCTCGAGATTTGTAGAAATTGCAGACTTCGAATGTCAAAGTGCAGATTTTCTTCCGAGTGGTGAAATTTTGAAACGTGGGAGATACTAGGAACTTTAAGTTTTTTTCTGGAAGTTTTAAACTTTAAATCTAAGAGAAGAAGAAATTAGAGCATCTCGGGACTTTTATTCGGAATTTTATCGAACTTTGATGAAGCTCGCAATATTTATTTGGAAATTAGAGAAGCATGTTACATCGCTTTGGATTTATTCTGAATATCTCCAAATTTAGAAATTAGACAACCGTGATTCTGAATTTCTCCTGAATTTAGAGAAATGGAAGTTGTGAGAATTTTGGAAATCAAAATCAAGGTGTTTACTTTCGGAAGTTCTCCTGTTCAAAATTTCCCGAATTCACGAATTGTAAATTGGAAGATTAAAGAGTCCACCGTCCTTCTAAAAAGTAAATTAATTCGAAACTCCAAATATGAAAATTGGGGAATTACGATCATTCGAGAATTTTCATCCTTTTTTAAATTTAACAATTAGGAATTCACAAATTGTTATTATTCACATTAACTATCGACTCTCAATGTTGCAAAATTCCAAATCGTGTGATTTTAATGATAAACGATATGATCTAACAAATATTTAACTCAACTATATAAAATAAATATTTTTAATATTTATAATAAATATTTCTTTATATATTTAATTTTTATAATAAATTCTTAATACTTACAATAAATATTTTTTTATATATATTTAATTTTTATAATAAATTTTTAATATTCATAATAAATATTTTTTTATATATATATTTAATTTTTCGTTCTTTAAACCATCCCAACTATCCTAACTACCAACTTGCAATATCAAGTTCTCAATGATCGATCGATTCAATAACCCCCTCCAGCCTAATTTAACAATTAGTATTTAATTTCACTGATTTCGATCCAGACAGAGACCATTGCGCGCACGCGAATACATGAATGTCACTCTTGACTTTCGATGTCGAGTCTGAGTCAGTGGATACAGTGTATACCAGGTGAGAGTGTAGATCGAAACCTGATGGTTCGTCGATCGTGATTGAAAACACGCACGTGCTCTCGCGCATACGACCGCGAGAATGATTCCACGTCGCAAATGATACATGTTGGGGGCCTCTGCCCCTCGTCCTTGGTCGATTTCGTCGGCCGAAGAAAAGTAAGAAATGCCGACTGACGCAACATCTCGAAGAATATCGCGAGACTTTCTGCCCTGTTCCCCTTCCGACCCCGGCTCGTCCATCTTTCAAGCGTCTTCGCCAGTGCTGTCCTCCGCGATTTCAGCCCCCTCGCGCGAATTGTTCGAGAATTCACGAGTTCAGAGTGTAAAATTATACAATATACGCGATGTGTAAAAAATTATACAACAGTGTAAAAAATATACAATGTACGATGGTGTAAAAAATTATACAACGGTGTAAAAAATATACAATGTACGATGGTGTAAAAAAATTATACAATATAGCGAGTGATTTTTCATATTTGGAGTTTCGAATTAATTTACTTTTTAGAAGGACGGTGGACTCTTTAATCTTCTAATTTACAATTCGTGAATTCGGCAAATTTTGAACAGGAGAACCTTCGAAAGTAAACACCTTGATTTTGATTTTCAAAATTCTCACAACTTCCATTTCTCTAAATTCAGGAGAAATTCAGAATCACGGTTGTCTAATTTCTAAATTTGGAGATATTCAGAATAAATCCAAATTATATAATATAGCGAGTGATCCAGTAAAAAGAAAAAAAAAAAAAGTCAAAGTGTTGTTTGATTATCTATTCCAAAGTGCTGTTTGTTTATTTATTTTAAATTGTCAAAGTATTGTTTTTCATGAAAACGGAATGACAGGAGAATTCACGTAGTTTTCTTTTTTATTTTGATGACGAACTGATAAAAGGATGAACACATATATATTGTTATTTAAGACTGAATTATTATTTATATTTAATTAATTATTTGTATTATTATTAATTTAATTATTTGTATTTCTATCGATTTAATTATTTGTATTATTGTTAAATTTATATATTTATTTAAGACTGAATCATTATTTATATTTAATTAATTATTTATATTATTATTAATTTAATTATTTGTATTATTATCAATTTAAATATTTGTATAATTATCAATTTAATTATTTGTACCATTATTAAATTTATATATTTATTTAAAACTGAATTATTAGAATTGCAAATCAGTGCTTACGCGAGATACTATTTAGATATAGCAGTGGATATTCAAATTATGGTAACTGAAGAAGAATCTAGTGAATAACCTAGTACGAACAGAATTACTTTAAGTATAGTTATGTACGATATTTTGAAAGAAATGACGTCACTGAAGAATAATTTAATTCCTTCAATTTTTTCCTCCTGATCATTCAATACCAATATTTTTAAATGGATACCTGTGTATCTTATTTACTCTTCACTATTCACTGACCTATCCTATACGATAGGTCCCAGACGATAAAATTAATTTGCAGTTTTTGCGGACTGCGTCATTTGCATTAATTCTTGCGAAGCTAGTGATCTTTTCCTCGATATCCAATTCTTTTCTTCTTAATGCCGAATTAGAAATTAAAATTTCCTTTAATTAACGACGCTTGACGAATGATTGTCCTTGATTTGCTTGTGTCCACGTTTCGTGCGACACGTGACACAGTAATATTCTCGTCGATTCATTAATAATCCCATTTGCATGTCTTTTGTATCGCTTCCAGTACACGTTGAATGAAATTCTCTCTTCAGTATGACAGATCTATTATTTTTCAACAATTCTTTCACATTTCCTT